AAAATGATATAAATTCTTAAAATATAAGTTTATACATGAAATAAAGTTTTTTAAGAAAGTATTTCATTTAAATAAAAAGTGGAAAAACGTTTCTTAACTAGTATCAGAGATTGTAAAAAGCAATAACTTGTGGACTTAATAACATCGATGTTAGTAGCAGGTGTACCTTATGAGGACGTCAATTCTTTCCCATGCATCGAATCCACTCTGGCCAAGTCGGTAAGACACTTGCTATGAGATTCTCTGGGCCAGGTTCAAATCTCCTTAGTGGAGATAAGAGATACTTTTTTTTGTATTTACTAATTTATATTAGCTATTCTTACAGTTTTCATGCAGAAAAAATTTTAAAATTCACTGTGTATGTATGTAGACAGTAATTAAATGCATTTAAACGACTAATACACGAACTTTTATAAGAAATTACATAAGATCTTATGTAAGTTCTTGGTTGATAAGCAAATGCAAGTTCGTGTACAAGTTCTGACACAAGTTCTGTTAAAAAAACTTATATGAGAACTTACATAAGAATATATGTAAGAAATTACATAAGGAATTACGCAAGAACTTATGTAAGACCTTATGACAAAAAAAGACAGTGCATGTGATATACGTCCATGAGTTTTGCCGGCCCTTGCGCACTCTAAAAAAATGTGCGCCCGGTTCGACGGCAGGCCACGGTGTCACCCCGATTAGTGCCAAAAAGTCGTCCCGTATCGTAGCATTGGCGTTAGCAATCTCTCTACTTATCTCTGATTCCTACGATAATCATCTCACCTTCATACACAATTTCGTTTCATAAAAGGTGTATTTATATTCTAATATATTCTAAGCTTAACTTCATACTTGGGTACCTAAGCAACCACTCTCTTTTGGTTTTCAAAAGTTGAAGTTCCAATTTAATCTATAATACCTACATACTTGTTATGTTTGATACTTTTGAGGTTATCATTAACCAACCTTTTTATTTTTAGCATAAGAATGCATGTTAAAGAAGCTAACTTTAAACTCAAATATCGCAGAATTTTGACTAGTTGAGAGTATTAAAAAGGTATCACTAATTTCAACTTTTTAGAAGTATACATCTACGTTTTCGCCAAGACTACGATTCCTGTGGTGACACAAACTAAGTGTGGTTTTCGGAAAAAAAAAACTTATCAAGGAATATGGGAAAAATAATTTAAAAAATTCCATATAAATCCGTTTTTAAGATATTGAACTCGAAAGTACGTAGTATTCGTTTTACGTATAAATGCGATATCAGGGCGATTTCTTGCAAATTAGATAGAAAGTGAAAAAAAAAATAATGAAAAAATTTATACTTGCTTACTTTTCAAGATGTTGCGAACCGTAGCTAAGTGCAAAAAAAGGTACTTTAGCAAAATGGCCTAAAAAAAGTTGTTCACAACGTTAGATGCAATTTTTTGCGGGATCATATTCTTTAATACTTACTGTATAAGCTACCAAAGTATGAAATTTTTTTACAGTATGGGAATTGGTTATTCGTTCCCGAGATAGTGTTATTTTAAAGAGCGCTTGCAGTTTGACTGTACTCGGCCGATAACACCGGAGTCGAACTTCAGAGAGTGGAATACTCATTAGGTTTATCATTTCTTAAGCAACATCCACATAGCAAGAAAATTTGTTACTTTAGTAACTTGTAAAGTAAGTATTAAATAATATAATCCCGCAAAAAAATTGCATCTAACGTGGTAAACAACTTTTTTGAGGCCATATTGCCAAAGTACCTTTTTTTTTAATTTAGCTGCGGTTTGCAAAAACTATAAATCCGATATTTGCAAAATTTTAGCTCTTAATTTTTATGCAGAAGAGAGTTATTGATTTTTGAGTATTGGCTTAAAAAACGAAGTTTTACGCATTTTGCAGGGAACCACTGGATCAATCGGGATTGATCGTAGCTTATTTTGTTCTTCTTTTTTCTACGCATACTGCTATATTTTTTTTTAACTTTAAGGCTTAGTGTTCGTTTCCGATGCTAAAAACCATGTTGTAAAATTTTTGCTATTTTTTTTGAAGCCTCAACGCAAAATATTTTTTGTTCGATTTTAGTACAATCGATTGGCATTGTTTGAATCTCTAGAACATATTTTTTTCGAGCTAGTCTGAATTTTATGAAAAATTATCGACATTTTAGCTACTTCGCTACACTATTTAAGTAGTTTATTCTGATATTTTTACAATTAAAATCACTTTTTCTGCATCTGATTGTCAAACTCGAATTTTCGTAATTTCGAGTTTTGAATCTCGAAAACGCATCAAGATAGAATTAAAAAAAATTTTTTTTTTCCATAATCCTTGATAATTTCTTTATCGAAAACCACACTTACTTTTTGTCGCCACAAGAATCGTAGAATCCCCAGGTTTTCGACCCTAGGGCATTGGAGCTTCCTGAAGTAATCAAAATTAGAATTCTTAAAATAATGTGTGCGTGCATATACTTACTTTAAAAAAAAATAATTTGTAGACAACTCTCATGAACAAGGATGAATTCAACGAATTTCTATTGCTTAAATCAGTAATCTAGTAAGTAGTGTAAAAGTGAAATCACTAATAGTAGCAATCACAAAATAATGTGATGTATTTTTTTGATGAGGTTGTAAACAAAAAATATTGTTACATAAAAATATATAAAATATTGTAAAAAATAAACATATATAATCATGTAAAAAAATATTTCTCACGGTCATTGCATAAGTCAATCCGTGCATAGTTTGATGGTGTAGAAAAATGAGGCGCTGTAGACGGAATATCAAGAAGACATGCTATTTGATTCATTTTTTTTTGCCTTGCCTTTATTCTTCCTTTCGTTAGTCTATATATAATAAAACATTGCGATAATTGACATGAGTAATATGTTTGCAAGATTTTATAAAAGAATCTAGACGACAATGGATGATGAATATTCTCATCATACCTCTGTTTGGCTGCCATACAACGAATATGGTCATCGAATATGAACTTGGTAGACAGCAAAGGTACACGATTAGTTGCTCCACTGCTAAGAGGCTTGTGGATCGTCAAATGCAGACATCGAGAGTCATCCTTATCACCTGTTACCTCGATATCCTGCAAGAACCCAACAAACTTCGCAACACCCCAGCCAAGTTTACGCGAGTCCGGCTCGACCAATATCAGTTGGATGAAGTCAATAACCATAAAACGGCGAAGCTTTTGACCATCTTTCCATACAACCGTACATGCGATGAGGTCGCTGTTATCTGGCAATTTATGGTGTCAGGCATACAAGTAGTTTGATTAAATCAAAAAAATCCCATAGCATGATGAATTTTTATGCACTTACTTAGATCTAGAACATTATTAATTTGGACGCAAGTCCCTGAATTGGTCAGTGGTAGTTGAGTTTCAAATTCATTGTTCAATCTTAATGATAGCCCGCGTAGTAATAAAAATACGCGTATAGCTCTGCGAGACCTTTCAACCTGAAAGCATATTTAATTATCTTTTATTTTTGCAGATGATATACGTTTTTTTGTTCGAGTTTATTGAAATTGAAAATAATTTAACTACTTCTCCGCAAGGTAGTCTTTTGCTAAATTCAATGCCTGTCATTGGAGTGCCAGTTGGAGGTAGCAAAATATTACTATCCATCATAAGCCATTCAACTTTTATTGGTTTTTTCTGGATTTTAATGAATTCATCTTCAAACATATCCAAAAATATATCTTCACTCTGTCAAAATATATGAATACAAATGAGTTATCTTGCAAAATTTGCTTTTTACGTTGAAATAAAACTATTTCTCAATAACATGCAACATGCATTTAGAAATTTAGCAATTCCAATTTTCCATTTCTTGACCTTGTAAAAATTACGCAGAGTTGCGGTGCTTTGTTCTCTTGCTACTCTGATGGCTGTTAATTGGCTGTCTTGTAATAAATTTTTTTTTTCAAAAATCACCAACTGCACTAACAATTTTATTGACAGCTCTAAAGTAACCAACCGTACTTTTGTATCTGATTTAAAAAATTGTATTTACTCCATTGATTTTCTATGCACTCTCTTTTAATAAATAATAACAAAGGGCATAACAAATCTTACTTGTTTGGCAGCTAAGACTTATAATCCTAATGATTCTATCTATTAATGTTTGATTGTAATAATCTTCTGCCGATTTTTTCAAAGGAGTCAAGACCATGCCTAATGCATCAGTGCATAGATTCTAGAATTTATTATCATTATCATCATTATTATTATTATTATTATTATTATTATTATTATATTATTATTATTATTATTATCATAAGGACAGTAACAAAAAATGACACAATTATACTGTATAAGTTTATGTTGATGTATTTATTGTGATGCCATTAAACTATTTACCTTATTGTTAGTTAAAGCATAAAGTAGGCACAAAGCAAGTAATGCGGTATAATCATTTTCTGAACAATATAAGGAATCAAATATAGTTTCAAGAAAAGGTTTTCTGGATAGTAAATCTCGGTCAGAAATTTTATCAACTACATCCGATGTAAGCGGACTTTCAAGAGCTAATCTATGTTCTTTTTCTTCATCGGTAACACTTAAATATTTAATTTCCATTATTGTTCCACTTGCAGTACAAAATTTATCCAGTTCACTTTGTACAGAGCAAGGTTCAGTATGGAGAAGTGCATTAATTTCAGTTGATGCCGTGTTTTCTGTTATATGCAAGTCATTTTTTTGGATCTCCAAACATTTTTCACTGGAAAATTCAGTTTCATAATCAGTCTTTGTACTTTCTTCATTCTTATTTTGTTTTATCTCTTTGACATATCGCAGTTTTGAGGAATCATTGTGAAATTCATTTAAATCATCTAAAGATGTCTCTAAACTTTTTGCAGGTAGTGAAAAAGCAACAGTTTTATTATTAATACAATTGTCACATTCTTCTAGCACCTTAGTTGTACCATTTTTTACAATATCCTCATTAGACTTTATTATTACAGCTGCAAGTGTTTTAATTAAGGGTCCATGAGAAACAATTAAAAAGACTTGAGATAGAAGAAATAGTGCCACCACTGTACTGACGAATTTTCGCTCTCTCTAACACAGATATTTAATAATAAACATAAATTAACAATAACACGAATTTACTGAACAATACTCACTTGATTTTGATATAATAAATCTTTTCTTCTCATCAATGAGTAAACATGTAAGGGAACAAGTAACTTGTGCAATAAATGATCTGACAAAACTTTATTTAAGTCTTCTATGTCAAGACAAAGAATATCATTTAAATAATGTAAATGATCTAAATGTTCTGCAACTAGATCTGACAATCTATTTTGACTTTGGTGACTGAAATATAATAAAGATTGAATTAACAAATAACTGATTGGTAACAAAAAATAATTGGTTTTTTGTAAATTGTTAAAAAACTTTTAGTAAATAACTCTTATTTAATTGTTTGTAAGTTCATTTCCTACAGTTAATAATATGAAACAAATCATATAGGCTTCATAAAATGAGGCAATATTTTAGGACTAAGATTTTAAAACAGTTATTTTTGTTTGTTTACAACTATCAGGATATTGGCAAACAAAATGTTAAGGGGCACATTCATTTGGGAAGCTAAAATACTTACTCGGCATCATTTCTGACACATGTGTCCAATTCAAGAATATGATTTCCAATAAACCAAACAAGATTGCTAAAATATGGAGCAGCAGTTCTATCTCGAATAAATTTTAGCATCGAGGCATCTTCAACACGATAAACATTTAATGTTAATGTTCTTACCGCAATGCGAACCATACCTTCTGTGTGATTAAAGAACTTGATAGCTTCGGTGTACAGTGGAAAATCGTTTGTGTGCTTTAAAAAATTAATATCGAATGAAACTCATATTATCATCTTTTTTAGATATAACAATTATACTTAAAAAAGAGGTTTTTTCTGCTACAATTATCAACGTAACCAGGAGTGAACAAGGCTGCGATATTGATAAATTACTCATGTAAATAAAATTTAAAAAAAGGCATAACGAAAAAATAACATGCACTAATAATAATGTTAGAATTTAATGCGATTTTGATTACAAGCGTTAAAAACATATACTGTATGCAGTGAAAACTAAATGTAAGAGACAGAGGTACAACATTTATAATCTGAAGTACCTTGTTTACCTCATTGTAAAAAAAATGAATAGTGTGTGCATTCAGTTTCAAACTCAGTGTCTTTAAGAAACTTATATAATAAGCCATAACTTCCTCATCGCTGAAATCAAATTTATGGACTATAATGCTGTTTACATGATTGTTACTCAAGAGGTAGTCTGGAATAGGTTATTGTTACAAAACGTTTTGAATGAAAATTTCGCTTGACACAATGATTACTGAGCTACACTTACATAAAGACGTTTCGTTACGAATATTTTCGAATAAAATGTTAAGTGTTTGCAGTAATTGAACGCACACGTAGCTTCCACATTTTTGTTTCATTATCCGTAAAAAAAAAGATAACATATTTTTTTCCAAGAAAAAACTGTAAGAAATATGTTGCATTAAAATAGAATTTAAAATTAACTCTAAGATCAGAGAGCAAGCTTACAAAAGAACTCACTCAAAAACACTACTGTCATTTTGATCACCCCAAATCAATATTTCTGCGATAGATCTTAGAGTTTCAACCAGCAAACCTTTGTTATTTTCATTGACTATTTGATTTTTGGACAACAAGTTGTAGAGGAATCTAGAAAAAAAATATTTAAATAAAGTAAGAGGAAAAACGCATTTCTAATGATGTATATCGTGATGAATGAGATACAAGATAAAATAGGTAATAGAAAATGAATTGGAAAATTAAGTCATACAGAAATACTGCTTATTTTACTTGAGGTGATCCAGAGAATGAAGATTTTTAGGCTTCCACAGGGTGCCTCCAAACCAGCTGCGACTACGAAACATCGTAGAGCTATTCCTTTTAGAAGATTACCTTCAACAAAATCATTGTTCTACAAGGTCCTTACATTATTAAGCACTGTACCTCTATCAGGCATAGACATATCGCTAGATACAGTTCAAACTATAGAAATGTTATACATCTAGTAAAACATATCTCTGTGGTTCACATATATAGTTAGAGCAATGATGCGTAATTATCATAGAGATAATAGAATAGAGGAAGCGAACTGTATTAGTTAGAGCAATGATGCGTAATTATAGCATTAGCAAAATAACCGTATGACGCTTTGTAACATTGCAGTACAAGCGATTTTCAACCTTTCGTCCATTGAAACTAATATACTCCCCATGCATCGAGAACCAAGATATGGAGCGATAAAAAAAAATTTTTTGCTTGTTAACCGAACCAAGTTACAATAAACGAAAAGGTTACACCTTACATATATCACACAATTTTTGCCAGCCGAAGCGTACTGGCTGATTTAAAACACAGAGTTATTAAAAAAACAATTGGGTTATTTAAAGAATTTTTTTTATTTTTAAATTCCGTGTTTTAAATAAGCCCGTACGTTTCGGCTGGTAAGAATTATTTAATACACCTTACGTGTAACCTTTCTGTTAACTGTAATTTGGTTTGGTTAACAAACGAAAAAAAAATTTTTTTCATCGTCCTATATCTCGGCTCTCGATAAATGTGAAGCATTAGTTTAAATAAACGAAAGGTTAGAAATCGCTTCTACTGCAATGTTACCAAGTGTCATCCGGTTATTTTTTTAAAACACGGAATTATTTTTAAAAAAAGTTAGGGTCAGTAAGCGCCCCGGGTTGTGTGGTGATTGGCGCTTGTGTTATTTAATTTATGTTATTAATTAACAAAGCAACCAGTAAGCGCACCAAGTTGTGTCATGATTGGCGCTTGTGTCTTTAAATTTATTATATTAATTAACAAAGCAACCAGTGAGCACTCCAAGTTTTGTGGTGATTGGTGCTTTTGTTATTATTTAAAGCATTGAATTTTAAAGTTGCTAGTAGGCGTTTCAGGTTGCTGGGTTAAATAGCATTGAGTTATTGGGTTTAAAAGCTTGGGGTTTATTTATTTATTATGTTAGAAATTCTGTTAAGTTATGTGGGTTTTTGCGTTTTGCTTCATATAGCCAATTTGAATTTCGCGCTACTTTGGATGCCACTTTCGGGAGCACTGCATTCTACTCGTGCTTCAACTTCAGTGCCGTACGAAACAGCGCTGGGTTAGGCGGATTCAATATCGAAACTTTTTCCCTAGATCGTATATATATATATTCTAGAATGTTCCGTCGAGCAGACAGCACAGCAGTAAAGGGGCATTGCCAAAGACACGCGGAAATTAAAAATTGTAATATTAATAACACAAGTGCCTATCACCCAATGACCCGGGGCGTTAACTGGCCTCTCTATTAAATAATAAAGTATTAATTATTAACACAAGCACCTACCACCCGTTGTCCCGGGGCTCTTACTGGTCACTTTATTGAATGATTAAGTATTAATTAATAGTGCAAGCTCCTATCACCCGATGTCCCGGGGCGCTTACTGGTCGCTTTATTAAATAATAAAGTATTAATTAATAGCACAAGCGCCTATCACCC